GATAGGTCAAGTAACTTGCCCAAAGTCATACAGCTAGGAAGCTTTGGAGTCTGTCTGACCCCAAATCTCATGCCTTTAAACACCACGCTATTTTGAAATCACAGTTCTCCACCAAGGTCCCATTATCACCCGTCTCCTTCGCCCCACACTTCCCACCCCGTGCCTCTGCAGGGCTAAGGACCCTTGCTTTCCTTCCCTGGCCAATGTCTAGCATCCAGCAAAGCCGTCTGAGGAAGGTCATCGTGACCATTGCTGGCAGAGGGGGACATCTGCCTTCCACCTCTTAAGGATGGGTGTCAGAATCCTATGCCAGGGTGCTCCCAGGCAGCCCCTTTCCTATTGAATTAGCACTGCTTGACACAATCCCTCTTTTGCCATTTTAACGTGATAAGTGGTTAATTTGATTGGGCTCAATGAGATGTAAATGATTGGATTCAATAAAGAACCAGGGAGTGTTTCCCTTCACCCCGCAGACCTCATTTCTCATCGGAGGTACAGCTGTCTGCCCAGGAGCATGGAGAGAGGAGGGGGAAGGCCTTGTTTGCATCTTGCAGATAAGACGGGCTCTGGGCCCCTCCCTTCAAGCACCACCCCCCACTCGGCACTGGGGTGCAAAATGATCATGACATTCCCCAGGGGGTGGGAGTGGAGAGTAATGGACGGAGTCAGGTTCCTGCGGAGAGGGGTGGGGTCCAGAGGGAGCTCCTCCCAGGTAGCTCCCACCCGCCCCACCTCCTAGTATATTCACGCCCTTCTGCAGTCCCCTCTCACATTATGCCCAACAGAACGTGGCAGAAGTGATGGTAAGTCACACCTGAGACTAGGTTATAAAAGGAACTCTGGCTTTTGTCGTGGGCTTGCTCTCTGGGATCACTCACTCTGGGGGTGTCCAGTACCACGTGATGAGGACACCCAAGCACCCTATTGGAGAGGCCCCCATGGTAAGGAACGGAGGTCTCCAGGTGACAGCCAGCAAGGAACTGAGACCACCAACACGCACATAAGTGAGTGGGGAAGTGCATCCTCCCTGCTCGAGCCTTCAGCTGGCTGCAGCCCACGCACCACGAGACACCCTAAGACAGAATCTCCCAGCTAAATGATTCCAGATCCCCAACCCATAGCAACCTGGAGATAAGAAACATCTGTTTTAAGCTGCAAAGTGTTGGGAATATTTGTTACACAGCAATAGATGACGAATACATCTGGTAACTTTTCTTAGCATTCAAGTCAAGTTCACCTCCAAGGCTCCCTGACTCTCAGCTTCTTGATGACTTTTTTTTTTCCCAAGAAGCAGACAGTAAAGGACATATCATTAAAACCCTGAATGTCCTTCGGTTTAGGCCTTTTGGTTTCAATATGCTTTGGAACCAATCTGCCTGGGTCTAGAACCCAACTCCAACTGCATGACGTTGGACATATTATTTCAGTTCTCTGAGACTCAACCTCCTTTTCTCTTAAAACGTGTATAACATTCGTACCCACCTCAGAGAGTTGTGCAGATGAATAGGATAAGGACTAGCACAAGCGTATACAGGCCTGACACATAAGTACTTAATAGACATTAGCTATTATTGTATTAGTGTTACTGTCACAGTGACAGAATTGAGGCTAAGAGCCCATTTTACCACTGTGGGAACGGAGAGTCCATGAAATTAAGTAATGTTTTCCCACTTTCACAGCAGACAGCTGGCTCTGCACAGGAGACAGTGGCGGTTCCATTTTGTCAGGAGAAGACTGGGTCTGCTACTCTGGAAGCCAACAGGGACCAGAGGGTTCCTGGGTTCCCGGGTGTGGGGAAGGAAGAACGCTGCCATTTCTGGACGCTGGGGAAAGACCAAGGTCCAGACTTTGAAACATTTACCCCAGACCGGTTCTGCCCAGTGTCCCATCCTGGACGTAGATATTTCATCTGCCTGTTACCGGCATCCACCAGGGGCACATTCACTTATATAGTCACAGATACTCATATGTGGGTTTGGAAGCTTTCCCCTATCTTTCCAAGCCAACCACTAAGTGGCTCTCTTCTGAACTCCCAATGCACTTCATTGGTACCTCTTGCTGTGTGAATGCAGGCAAGTTACTTAACCTCTCTGAGCATCAGTGCTCCTATCCACAGTAGAGGTAAGAATGTACCAACTTCCTTTGGCTGTTGTGAAGTTTAAATGATGTAACACATGTAAAGTGCTTGGCATGTGGTAAGGACTCAATCAATTGGGTGTATACATGTGTATGTGCAGGCACACATTGTCTGCTGTATCTGCCTCTAGAGATAATATTAACATTTCTGGCATCAGGAGGATTGACTAGAATAACATATCCCCAGTCAGCATTGCACCTTGCACACAGGAAGCATTCAATAACCTTAGCTGCTGTTGTTATTTCAAACTACCCATCCTCAGCATTGGACTGGGATTAAGAAATTCCCGGTTTGGGTTCTTGATCTCCTGCCTAGGCAACTTTGGCCAAGGCAGCTTATCTTTCTACACTTCACTCTGTATGTCAACAACATGGGGGTAAATGATGCTCACTATAAAAGGTTGCTGTTTTTCTAAGCACTGAATAAAGTTTTTTTTTAAAAAAATCTGTAGATGATAATAAATTTTAACAATGTATACAATTAGAGTTATCTGGGGACATGTCCATTCCACTTCCTGTTAACAGGAGACAGATTTTGTTCCTGGGGTCTTCCAGCATCCAACACAACGTCTGGCACATAGTAGGTGCCTCAACTGAGGCTAAAAAGAGGCTAATAAATGTTGAACAACCGAGTGAATGGACAAATATACGAATGAATGGGTTGAACGTCTAAGATTGCCATAAACTTTCAGAACTCAGGTTTTCTGGCTCTGATGCAAGTTATTTTTTTTTTTAAATAATTACATAATCCACTAGCCCAGAGCCTCAAGCTTGATTTTCAATAACAATTATGAGGTCTTTCCAAACTCATTCCGATAAGCATCACAATAACAATAATCGAATGCCTTACTTTCAAAAATGCCTGTGCATCTATCATTGTATTTTATTGCCAGAACCCTTATAAAAGTAAGAATTATCATTTTCATTTTGCAAATGGAAAAAAAAATTGAGGCTGAGAGAGGAAATGCAATTTTACCAAGTCTGCAAACCAATGGCCTCTTTGAAATTTCTAGGAGAAATTTTATTTCCGTTTTTCTTTCATGTACATTGTCCCCTTTTCTGGGAAGACCTGCACCCCCCATATCCTTCTGGTCTCTAAGACTTGAACTAACAACACAGCCTCAGGAGCCCTTCCTGTTCTTCAAACCCCCTGTGTTTCCTTTACCATTCAATACGCTTTGCTATTTGTGAGATCCCATTACTAGCTATGAGACCTCAAGAAGATTGCATCGAGACCTCATTTCCCAGTGAATTCCACTCCTGCCCAAAGTCCTCCCCCAAGACTTTGTGAAGTCCAGGGCGACAGAGAAACTCCTTTACAGGCACCTCTGGTTGACCACATTGTGCCTAATGGGAAGTTCGAGCTCTTCTTCAGTTTACACACTAAATAACCACTCTCACCAACGTGGGGTGGGGGATTGACTTTCCAACAATCTTTGAGTTACCTCTAAGAGAGGTAGAACTCTGTAGAAGCACACATCTTTCTGCCATTTGCTGGAACATTTTCCACTTCAATACCCGTGCCACACTCCCCTTATCTCCTGCAAAGCAGCTTAGCAAATCTTTAGGTCTTCCTCCCTAAACCAATATGGTAGCCACTAGCCACATGTGGCTACTGAGCACTTGAAATGTGGCTAGTCCAAATTGAGATGTGCCATAGGTGTAAAATACACAATGGATTTCGAAAACTTAGAATAAAAATACTGTAAACATCTCATTAAAATTTTTAATATATCTTAGATATATTGAATTTAAATAATTGCTAAAATATTTCACTTGTTTCTTTTTACTTTTAATGTGGCTACTAGAAAATTTAAAACTTGAGATGTGACTTGTATTCTATTACTATTGGATAGCATTTGCCTAAACCACCGAGCTCATCAATGGCAATTGTTTTCCCAGGAGAAATTCCAGTGCCAGGTTTTAAGATGATGCTTATTATCTATCTCTTTGTACGCTGTAAGGTGAAGGCAGCATGGCACAGAATTTAATCTTCTTTTAGTTAGTCTGTTTTGCCAGTGATAAAATGAGGGAAGAAGGTGTTTATCTGACAAATAGTTCCAGAACTCCACTATGCAACAGGCGCTGAGGATAGAAGAGAATGAAATGGCACAGAACCCACCCTCGGGGATGGAGTGGCAGGAGATTTATGATCCTTTCCATCTCTAAAACCATCCCCCTCACTTCAAATTTCTGATTTTCCATGGCACAGCCTAAGAATTCTTCTATGCCCTTGGGGTTGGAACTTGAGGAAATCAGGGTCTTGAAATTTGAAAGATATTTTTCCACAGAAACTGCATGATGAAATGTGTAATATAAGGTCCCAGACTACCCCACACATCTTTAATTAACCAATAATTATAGTAATATATTCTCTACTTTGTAAAAAAAAAAAAAAACACTGTGTATTTTTAGGAATTGTCTTGATTAATTTTCACATCAACCCTGAGAGTTAGACATTAATACATTAGCTTTTCAGATGAAGGCACTGAAGTGCAGAGAAGCTTAAGAGTTGTCCAAGTTCACACAGCTAAAAAAATAAAATAAAATAAAAAAGCTAAAACTGGCATTTGAACAATGATTTGTACAGGTGTGGAGGAGAGGAAAGCCGAAAACCACGGCACATGTCAGTAAGCTAAGGTAGACAGAACCGGAGACAGAAACTCTTCCTCCTCTTCCTCTACCAGGTCTTCTGTTGGATTTCCTTGCATAGGTCAATTGGAATTTGATCCAGAGTATGAAAACTGGAAGGACCCGGCAGGAAGCGGGGACTGTTTCAGCTACAACTAGTAACTTTCAAGGGACAGAAGACCCAACATAAACACATTTATGCCAAACAGAAATGGGAGCAAGGTCCCACTTACCGGGTCAGCAATTTCAAAGCTCAGAAATACTTGGCTTCTGGCACAGTTTGCAGGTGCTCAACCCGCATCATCAGGATCCAGTATGTGTCCATCTCTTCAGGCTTTCCACTCTCCAGTGCTCTTCCAAGCTCTTCCAAGCTCTCTCCTCCACTGAGGCAAGAGTCGCTTTCCTGGAGTACCACGAAACTTCCTGGATTAGCTCTGATTGGCTTAAATGTGTCACCTGCCCATCTATAAACCAATCACTGTGGTCAGGAGGGTGGAGTTCTCTGATTGGCCAAGCCTAGGTCACATGCTCACTCTTGGACCTGGGTGATACGGTCAGTGCCCCGCCAAAACTATGTAGCCTGTGATGAGTGAGAGTGTTTCCTCAGAGGAAATTTTCTATCGCCAGAAGAGGCTGAGGAATTGATGTTGGACGGGCAAAAACCGTAATTGTCAACTGTAATCCTTATAACCAGGGGTAAGCAGGTAAACCAGCTCTCTGGAAAACAAACAAACAAAAAACCTGATTTGTAATATTTGAAAGGAGTCAGTGATGTGAATGATCCCACCATGGCTAATTTGAAGCTACCAACAGTTCAACAGAATTGCTCAATATATAACACTCTGTTTTCATGAGCCAGTGGGAACTAGCTTCAGCACACCACCAGATCCTCCAAAGGAAGAGGAGAACTTGCAGAGAGGAGATATTTACGAGCGGAAAGAGATTTTTTTCTTCCTTTGTATTCTGGATTTTACTAAATGAAATTCCAAGTCCCTTACAATCCTAACTCACAAGATATCCTTCCTCCCATCCCCAGTGCTATTGGGGAAGCAGGAAATAGCCCCGATGACCTCAGGGTATCAGCTCTAATTCTTGAGCTTTAGTAGAAAGCTCCTTCACCCATTTACCCAAAATCTCCCAGCAAAAGCTCATATGGCCCAAACTAAATTTCTGTTTCTTCCTTAGAATTTGTGTTTAATGTTATTATCAAGACAACTGATTCAAAGAAATTTCTTCCTTCCGTGAACATCTGTTGTTCCTGATTAGAAACCACTAAGAACCATGACATTTCCAATCTTGCCCAATATTAATTGTGTCTGCAAACAGACACCATGGCCAACTTCTCCTAAATAACTTGTAATAAACTGGGATGTTTCCTCACACATACAGGGAGGTGAAGATTCACCATAGCAAGTAGGAATGCCAGGAAGTCAGATACATACTGCAAATATGGAGGTAGCTGTGTTATTTCAGATTCTCAGAGAGAAACATAACCAATAGGGGATATAAATACATTAAAGGTATTTACTTTAGGAATTGGCTCACACAATTATGGAGGTTGAAAAACTTATGATCTGCAGTTGGCAAACTGGACACCTAGAATAACTGATGGTATAGCGCTAGTGTCAGTTGGAAGGCTTGGAAAATAGGAAAGCCAAAGGTGTAAGTTCAAGTCCAAGTCCAAACACCAGTGGAAGACTGGTGTTCCAACTCAAAGACAGATAGAGAGAAAGAATTCTTTTATACTCAGCCTTTTTCCTATTCAGGTCTTCAACATATTGGATGAGGCCCGCCCACATTGGAGAGGGTGATCTGCTTCACTCAGTCCACCAATTCAGTGTCAATCTCATCCAAACACACCATCACAGACACGCCCAGAGATAACGTTTAAACAACTACCTGGGTGCTCCATGAACCAATCAAATTGACACATTAAATTAACTATCACAGTACCCATCTCCTTCCTATTTATTTTAAGTGTCCTACAATAGTCTGGTAGTTATGAAACCTTGTATTTATATTACATATTTTATAATGAAGTTTCTATGGGGAAAATCCCTTCCATATTCAAAACTCCTAACTTCCTCATGTTTGGACTACCCCAGACAAGTGGAGGAATTCCTAGGCTATGTCACTAAGGATCAGAAATTTGAGCTGAGGTGGATATTTTCAAATTAGGATTATAAATTCACCCTGGTCCAGTCCTGATAGTTGGCATAATAAAATGATTATGAGCTCAGCCTTTGGGATCAGGTAGACCTGAGTTCACACATGATCACGGTCACTTTATAGTCGATGACCCTGAGCAAATTTCTTAACTTTTCTGAACCTCAGTTTTCTAATTTATATACTGAGAATGATAATATTAATAGTGCCTACTTCCAAGAAAAGAATAGCGTGAAAAGACATATATAAAGAGTTTTAGCACTGAGTCTAAGGCTCCCAACAGTTAAGCTCCCCAATAGCAATGAATAACCTTTTAGCAGTTTTTAAATCTCAATATTGTTCCCTAATTGAAAATGCCCCATGCACATAAGGCGCCATGTCATTGAAGAGAAAGGTTGAGAAACGCACGCACTGTGTTTAAGAGGTCTATAAAAGAGGTTGTTTCACAGCCTGTTTGCTTTAAGCAATGCAGAACTTTAACACAGGTGACTTTTGAACTTTCTTAGCTTGTGAAGAATTTCTTTCCATCAGCATTTATTATGATTCACATTAGATGCTGTAGGGATCATAGGATAAATAAAAGACATAGAAGATCTGAACAGCATGTGTACATAAAACAGACAGCCCTGGATGCAAAGCCAGTTAGTTCCCTCTGGCTGCATGACCTTGGGCAGGTTATCTAACTACTCCAAGCTTCAATTGTCTCATCAGGAAAAGGAATGTCCTCCCTATCTCTGACAACACAGGTTTGAGTATTCAAGAGATAATGTGTGCAAAGTATCTAGTAACATATTCTAGTTAAGAATACATTAGAACCCTGCTCCTGTCCACAGGTGGGAGCTGATTTTCTGGGAGAAAAGACAAGACACACAGAGAAGCCAAAGCTACATAACAAAATTTGTGTTATGTTTACCATGGCTGGGGTGCTCTATTCATATGCCAATTTCTGTCTTGACTGCACTGACTTCCAGAAGGGAGAAAGAAGGTAATTTCCCTGCCTCCCGCCAGTCCTGGAATGAAGGAGTCTTTGCTGGAAAAAGGCCCGCCAAGGAGTCCAGCTGGTGACCTCAGTGAGGATGAGGAAGCAGGAGCTCAGAGGGAGGAAGCCCGGGCCTGGGAGTGCCCAGAGGGAAACAGCCCTGTGCCAAGTCACCACCCAGCCCCAAGGGGAGGAGACCCCCAACTCCCCACCCCCCCAACTCCCCACCCCCACACAACATACCAGTGAGAGCAACTTCAGGGGTGCATTTCTGTGGGCAAGCCTGGGGCAGGCCGGTTGAGCCTTGGGAAAGCGTTGCTAACTCCAGGGCGGAGTAGGGCGCCCCCTGGAGGGCGGAGGACCAACACTCAGCTAGAGGATGCACACAAGCAACTGCAAGGATGGAGACCTCTGAGGACCAAAGACAGGACCTTCCTCGGTTCTCTCGAGAACGTGGGCTTCTTATAAGATCTCGATGGGGAGTAGAGTCCCCACTAACCAAGCAGGTTAGTGGGGACTATCCCCCTAACCAAGCAGGTGAGCCTCAGACATTGATTTAATTTGTTTCGTTAAAAAAAAAAAAATAGAGGATATATTTCTTGAACCTGAATGTCAGGGGCAAATTCACAAGATCATAAGAGCTTGCTAAGGACTTTCATTTATATTCAATCCAACAAACATGAATCAAGCACCACTGTGAACCTGGCACATCGTCTCTCCCTGAGTCCTCAAAATTATCCTTTGAGGGAATCCTCATTAATTCCACCTGGCAGAAGAGTAAACTGAGGCTGATAAGGTGACAAGAGCTTGTTTTAGGCCACAATGAGAAATGATTAAAGAATATTCATTGCACTAAATGTAGTATCTAGCATGGAGTAAATGCTTTTTGTTTTGTTTTGGTTTGGTTTTTTGTTTGTTTGTTTTTTGAGACAGAGTCTTACTCTGATGCCCAGACTAGAGTGCTGTGGCATCAACCTGGCTCACAGCAACCTCAAGTCCAAGTCCAAACATCCAATGGAAGACTGGTGTCCCAACTCAAAGACTGGTGTCCCTGGGCTCAAATCGATCTTTCTGCTTCAGTTTCCCCAGTAGCTGGGACTACAGGCCTGTGCCATCAAGACAGATATGTCTTAGCCATGTCATGGCTAATTTTTTCTATATATTTTTAGTTGTACAGCTAATTTCTTTCTACTTTTAATAGATACGGGGTCTCTTGCTCAGGCTGGTCTCTAACTCCTGACCTTGAGCGATCCTCCCGCCTCAGCCTCCCAGAGTGCTAGGATTACAGGCGTGAGCCACCATGCCCAGCCCGGAGTAGGTGTTTAATACAAATTTGATGAATTGATGGTTGAAAGTACAAAATAGATAACTTGTTAATAAAGGCCAGTTGAAATAGCAAAACTGGGTGACAAAGATAGCTGACATGTACTGAGACTGTTCTAGAACTTTCTAACATCTAATCCCCATGGAAGCCCTAAGAAAAAGTTGATTTTTGTCCCCATTTTACAGATGAACAAACCCAGGCCAGAGAGTTTCAATATTTGCTGCCGTTCATATACCTGGGAAGCATCAGAGCCAAGGTTTAAACTGAAGATGTCTGACTCCCTGGGCCAAGTTTTCAAGTACAAAACTATCAAGTGTCCAGACAGGACACAGAGTGAAGGAGTGATCTTTGGAATTGGCACAACATGGGTCCTCCACCTTTCTTTTTCTAAGACTGGTAAACTGATAACATGAAAGTTAAGGGCATGATGGGCTCTGGGGTGAGATACACTTGACCTCAAATCCCAGCTCCACTACTCTCTAACGCTGTGATCTTAGACAAGAGGCTTAGTCCCTCTGAGATTCAGTGAGATGGAGATGATAATAAATTGTTGAGAGGATCAAATGAAATAACAGGCCAACATCTCCTATCTCAGTGCTCAGGACCTGGGGAAATAGCAATACATGGTAACAATCACAATAATAACATTAACTAAAATGACAGCTATAACAATTACACTGATGGTACCGGTGCTGGGTGGAGGGCAGAGGGAGGCGAGGAAAAGAAAGAAGAGGAAGGCAGCAGCTTCTGGAAGAAGTGTGTTCTGAAGACAGGGAGGAACCCTGTCAGAGCCTGGACTATTCCCCAGATTGGGCAGCGGGAGGGGGAAATAGCACATCAGAAGGCACAGACAAAAACCCCTGAAGCCTGCTCTTTGCAATCCCATGTGCCAAACCCCGAGGAAGGAGAGAAGAGGCCCCAGACTGGTGGCCATAGGAGGAGGCAAAACCTGTGACAACAGAGCCCAGTGACCTGAACCCCACTCCAGCCATTTTCCAGCAAGCCTGAGGTTACAGCCCAGGTGATTTCAGTCTGGGACATCAGATGACATGCGCCTCCCTCAGATCACCACAAGATTGAATTTTCAGCCACATCCTCCAGACACATGCATTTTGGCAGAGATGTTGTTTGCAGGGACCAA